CCCAAAATGCACAATTAAAATTTTATGGCATTTACCTTTTTTGGTTCTTGGAGTACAACTAGCAATTATATAATAATAACCTAGCTGAATTGACTGGTTTGTTTAACTATTTGTCTTTAAACCCATAATTACTATGGTTACCTCCACCCCCTTTACCTTCCAACTCCCTATCCATTCCCCCCCCCCCCCCCCCCCTTCTCCATCTCCTCCCCCCCCTCTTCCACCCCCTTTATCTTCTCCCCCCCCCCCCCCCTACGGTTCATACTGCCTTACTTAGATGCTGTTCTTGCAACATCAGGAATATTTCTTTATGCTTATGCATCACTGTGAACCTATGGTTGTCCATGTTATTGTCTACTTGGCTGTTTTCTCAAAAATTAATTAACAATATGTTGAATCTAAAATATTAGACAAGGAAAAAAATATTATAAAATGCTCCATCTAGTGGTAGGTTTACAAAATGAAAAAATGAATATATGTATGTGTGTAGTGTATATATATATATATATATATATATACATACACACTACATACAATGGGGATCAAAAGTTTGGGCACCCCAGCTAAAAATTTGTATTAATGTGCATAAAGAAGCCAAGGTAAGATGGAAAAATCTCCAAAAGGCATCAAATTACAGATTAGACATTCTTATAATATGTCAACAAAAGTTAGATTTTATTTCCATCATTTACACTTTCAAAATAACAGAAAACAAAAAAAAGGCGTCTGCAAAAGTTTGGGCACCCTGCAGAATTTATAGCATGCACTGCCCCCTTTGCCAAGCTGAGACCTGCCAGTGTCATGGATTGTTCTCAATCATCATCTGGAAGACCAGGTGATGTCAATCTCAAAGGTTTTAAATGCCCAGACTCATCTGACCTTGCCCCAAAAAATCAGCACCATGGGTTCTTCTAAGCAGTTGTCTAGAAAACTGAAACTGAAAATAGTTGACGCTCACAAAACTGGAGAAGGCTATAAGATAGCAAAGCGTTTTCAGATGTCAATATCCTCTGTTCGGAATGTCATTAAGAAATGGCAGTCATCAGGAACAGTGGAAGTTAAAGCAAGATCTGGAAGACCAAGAAAAATATCAGACAGAACAGCTCGCAGGATTGTGAGAAAAACAATTCAAAACCCACGTTTGACTGCACGATCCCCCCAGAAAGATCTGGCAGACACTGCAGTTGTGGTACACTATTCCACTATAAAGAGATACTTGTACAAATATGGTCTTCATGGAAGAGTCATCAGAAGAAAACCTCTTCTACGTCCTCACCACAAAAATCGTTTGAACTTTGCAAATAAACATATAGACAAGCCTGATGAATTTTGGAAACAAGTTCTGTGGAACGATGAGGCTAAAATTGAACTTTTTGGCCGGAATGAGCAAATGTACGTTTGGAGAAGAAGGGGCACAGAATTTAATGAAAAGAACCTCTGTCCAACTGTTAAGCATGGGGTTGGATCAATCATGCTTTGGGGTTGTGTTGCAGCCAGTGGCACAGGGAACATGTCACAAGTAGAAGGAAAAATGGATTCAATAAAATTTCAGCAAATTTTGGATGGTAACTTGATGCCATCTGTGAAAAAGCTGAAGTTAAAGAGAGGATGGCTTCTACAAATGGATAATGATCCTAAATACACCTCGAAATCCACGGCGGATTACATCAAGAGGCGTAAACTGAAGGTTTTGCCATGGCCTTCACAATCTCCTGACCTCAACATAATTGCAAATCTATGGATAGACCTTAAAAGAGCAGTGCGTGACAGACAACCCAGAAATCTCAAAGAACTGGAAGACTTTTGTAAGGAAAAATGGGCAAAGATACCTCAAACAAGAATTGAAAGACTCTTGGTTAGCTACAAAAAGCGTTTACAAGCTGTGATACTTGCCAAAGGGGGCAGTACAAGATATTAACTCGACAGGGTGCCCAAACTTTTGCAGATGCCATTTTTTTGTTTTCGGTTATTTTGAAAGTGTAACTGATGGAAATAAAATCTAACTTTTGTTGACATATTATAAGAATGTCTAATCTGTAATTTGATGCATTTTGGAGATTTTTCCATCTTTCCTTGGCTTCTTTATGCACATTAATACAAATTTTTAGCTGGGGTGCCCAAATTTTCGATCCCCACTGTATATGTATATATATATATATATATATATATATACATACCTACACACACGCATTTTCCACACTTCCCACACTGGAGTCATATTTAACATCTATTCTGACCACAGGATGGCAATAAATTGGGGTTTTGCATATATATATATATATATATATATATATATATATATATATGTATATATATATATATATGCAAGACCCCCAATTTATTGCCATCCTGTGGTCAGAATAGATGTTAAATATGACTCCAGTGTGGGAAGTGTGGAAAATGCGTGTTGTCTGGCCGTGCAGAGCTTAGGTGGACCCAATTCAAATCTAGAGACCCTTATGAGGGTAGTGCTACAGGCATTTTGTTGGTAAAAGTGAACTAACCCTTTAAAGTTACATTCACATTAGCCTGCACAATAAAACACAATAAAGCTGCTGCGTCACTTTTCTGGCATCAATCCCTCTTGTTAATGTATTGTGCCAAATTCATGAAGCATTTGCGACACTGTTGGTTCTGACAGCGACTTGTGCACCAAATTCAGATTTTGGGGAAATTTTCACATCCTTTCTATAACTGGCGTAGCATGGACTGAAATCAAGTACAAGAATTTGGCACATTCTTCACTTCTTAGAATTGCATAAGTGACACTTTAGCAAAATCTTCCTGCACCAGTCTATGAATTCCAGGGTTAGTTTTACTGTGCAGGCTAGTACAGTGCTGGCTTCTTCAGGGAGAAGTACGATGTGTGTTTCAGTGCATCACACTGCTTGTTTGTTTTTTCTTTCTTCATGCCCATGCACAATTACATTATGCTGGTGAGCAGTGACACGCAGTGCCATTTAGGGCTGTGCAGAAAAATTCAGACGCGCTGCATTTTTCCACATTGCACCACACTGTGTTATGGTGCGAATGGGGCACATAGAAAACCATTGTTTTCTACATGCTCTAGTGATGACCTGTGTTGATCCAGTGCGGGAAAAAAAACATATAGAATAAGGGCCCGTTCACACTACATGTGTTTCAGTTGCTTTTTTTCTGCATCCAAAATGCACAGAAAGTAGGTTATATGGTTGTCAATATCATAGTTCACATCAGTGCTTGCAGCTCCAGTGTTCTATGTCTGATCTATGGTGTGTTCTATGGCTGATTTATGGTGGTCTATGGCTGATCTATGTTGTGCTCTATGGCTGATCTATGGTGTGTTTTATGGCTGATCTATGGTGTTCTATGGCTGAGTTATTGTGTTCTATGGCTGATCTATGTTGTGTCCTATGGCTGATTTATGGTGGTCTATGGCTGACCTATGGTGTGTTTTATGGCTGATCTATGGTGTGTTCTATGGTTGCTCTATGGCTGATTTATGGTTTGTTCTATGGATGATCTATGGGGTATTCTATGGCTGACCTATGGTGTGTTCTATGGTTGATGGTGTGTTCTATGGTTGATCTATGGTGTGTTCTATGGCTCATCTATGGTTGATCTATGGTGTTCTATGGCTGATCTATGTTGTGTCCTATGGCTGATTTGGTGGTCTATGGTGTGTGTTATGTGGCTGATCTATGGTGTGTTCTATGGCTGATCTATAGTGTGTTCTATGGCTGATCTATGTTGTGTTCTATGGCTGATCTGTGGAGTGTTCTATGGCTGATCTGTGGTGTGTTTCTATGGCTGATCTATGTTGTGTTCTATGGCTGATTTATGGTGTTCTATGAGTGATGTTCTATGGTGTGTTCTATGGCTGATTTATGGTGTGTTCTATATTTGATCTATGTTGTCTATGTGTGTTCTATGGCTGATCTATGGTGTGTTCTATGGCTGATGTATGGTGTGTTCTATGGCTGATGTATGGTGTGTTCTATGGTTGATGTGTGGTGTTCTATGGTTGATCTATGGTGTGTTCTATGGTTGATCCATGAGATGTTCTATGGTTGATCCATGAGATGTTCTATGGTTGATCCATGAGGTGTTCTATGGCTGATCCATGAGGTGTTCTATGGCTGATCTATGGTGTTCTATGGCTGATCCATGACGTGTTCTATGGCTGATCTGTGGTGTGTTCTATGGCTGATCTGTGGTGTGTTCTGTGGCTGATCCATGGTGTTCTATGGCTGATCTATGGTGTGTTCTATGGTTGATCTATGGCTGATTTATGGTGTGTTCTATGGCTGATCTATGGGGTATTCTATGGCTGACCTATAGTGTGTTCTATGGCTGATCTATGGGGTATTCTATGGCTGACCTATAGTGTGTTCTATGGTTGATCTATGGTGTGTTCTATGTCTGATCCATGGTGTTCTATGGCTGATCTATGGTGTATTCTGTGGTTGATCCATGGTGTTCTATGCCTGATCTATGGTGTGTTCTGTGGCTGATCCATGGTGTTCTATAGCTGATCTATGGTGTGTTCTCTGGCTGATCCATGGTGTTATTTGGCTGATCTATGGTGTGTTCTGTGGCTGACCCATGGTGTTCTATGGCTGATCTATGGTGTGTTCTCTGGCTGATCCATGGGGTTATATGGCTGACCCATGGTGTTCTGTGGCTGACCCATGGTGTTCTATGGCTGATCTATGGTGTGTTCTGTGGCTGATCCATGGTGTTCTATAGCTGAGAGGTTCTGTTGGATCATTACTGTGATTAGTGCTGTTAGTCTGACTCTCTCTCTTATTTCATGTATCTTGTCCTGTATATAAACTCCAGCTGTGATGGATATTATCAGCCCGTCATTCTGTAACCATGACAGCCGCATATTCTTCAGCTCTACCTCAGCCGGCCTGGAGGAAGAGACTAAACGGAGGTCTCCATGGATACGGAATGCCATGGCCTAGACGGCGGAAGTGCGGGCCGCAGCTGTAGGTCGGGATATGGCGGCCTCTGTCCTGGTGTGTGCTGTATGGAGTGCGGCTCTCCTCTTCTCCGAGGCCCGGGGAGAGCAGGGGGAGTTCAGCCCGGGACAGTCTGCGGCCTCCCTGCCCCTGGGTGCAGTTGCGGCAGAGAGGAGGTAGGAAGCCAGGCTGGGGACGTGGCAGCCATTGCTGCAGCTGCACATCTTCCTTCCCTCATACAGAAATGCTGTGTATTTACTCCATAATCTCCGTGCCTGGCTGGATTCCCACAGGTTGCAGTTCATTACACGGATTGCAGGGAAGGTGCATGCATTGGGTTTTGTACGTGGTGTTTAGAGCAGGAGGTCAGTGTGCCATTAGGAATGAATGACTGCTGTGCACAAACCTCATCTTAGTGTGAAGCCAGCTTTAGGGCTCGATCACATGGGTGTACTAATCCGTACGTTCATGCAAAGGGCCATCATCCACATGTTTTGGCTCAGAACTGAGTATACCTGCATACCAACGTATCCTATAATGCACTTGGACAAGCCGCGTACATGACACCTGTGGCCCCGGCAGAAAACCGGGCCCCGATATATGTCCAGATACACTCAAACACATGAACCCTAAGGACTCGTTCACATGGGCATATTCCTCCATACACCCACGTGAAGGGCCGTCTTTAGCCGCATGGAATGCACATGTGTTCCGTAGAGGGCATGCAGGCGGCCATCTGCACAGACCGTCATGTGCACATCCATGGGGGTCCTATGTACAGATCAGGGCACAGCGAGACTGCTTTTCTGATCCGTGCATCAGACCCACATGGATGTGCGCTCCGGGATGCATGTGGAATTCCTTGCAGAAAGCTGCCTGCATGCCACTGGCATTAGGATCAATTCAGTCATGTGAATGAGACCTTAGGGTTCATGTATGTCGTGTATAGTCACTTGTTCAAATGTATTCCAGGATATGGCAGAATGCAGGTATATGTAGTTCGGAGCCTAAAAATGCATGTGTGTACAGATGTACACTCCTGGATGCACATTGTCTGCTTCAGGGGTGGACATCCATATGCACGTTTATACCGGGCACTGCATACACCTGCAGACAGCCGTATCTTGTAATTTATTTGTATGGGCAGCTATACACAACACCTGTGGCTGCTGGAATAGGCCATATTATACAGCCAAAAACATCTGTGTGCTTGAACCCTAACATTAGAATTGTCCAACTGCTGGGCACTAACTTCCATGCATTACTATTGTAGCTCGTTCAGAATGAGGACTGGTCCCACAGCTGCTCTGATACCTTTAGGAGTATTATGTAGTAGGAATAAAACAACCAGCAGAGCACTAATGGTGGAAAGCCAAATGTAATGATAACCATAAAGCGTGACCATGGAAACAATGTCAGGATCAGCTGACACCAACATGTCCAAGATAAAACGGTGTTTAATAATCCAATATAAAAATCTCCATATAAAGTCATATATCCAATGTGGATTGTGTATCACAACAATTTGGGCTCAAATCCCCCACTGAAAGTGTGAAATCAAAACGGCTTACTATGGTCTGGATGTGAGGGGGTGTGATGGATGGGCTCGATGTTGGATTTGTCTGTCAGATGGTATCTGCTGGTGAATACATGCATGGGATGGTGTATCCAGCAGAGTCGGGAGAAATCTCCTTGGAGTCACCAAGACTTACACACCAGAAGTGATGTCACGCCCCCCCCCCCCCCCCCCCCAGAAGTGACCTCATTGGACCGCAGGAAACCGTCGGCGACCATTGTTGAACCAACAGCTGTTTTTATCATTGGATTAATAAGCTCCTTTTTATCTTGGACATACCGGTGTCGACTGATCCTGACATTGTTTCCATAGTCACGCTTTATGGTTATTATTACATTTGGCTTTTCATCATTAGCGTTCTGCTAGCTGTTTTATGAACCCTAAGATGTTTAATTTGTGGCCATTGAGCTACGGCACTTGTTAGGCCAGGGTAACTGGGAAGATTTTTATGCTCACTTTATTTAGGGCTCATTTACACTAGTGTAGCCCTCTGAAGAATAATCCCAGTGGGTTGCTTTTTCAGAGGGCTCTGACAGGCAGCTGGATTGAGATATGTTGTCTCTTCACTGCCTGTTTTAAGAGGCCGCCAATTGGCACCAGCTCCATTTAGAGAATGCTTTGCATCTTCCAATCAGAGAAGGCTTTGCATTCATTTGGAAGAGGGGCATTTTGTGTCTTCACTGCCCCATCTCTCCACCTTGTCCAATCAGAGAAAGTGTTGAATTCATTCAGAAAATGCAAAGCATTCTCTTAATGGATGTGGTGCTGAGTGGCCAACCTCCTGTGTTCAGAATGCAGTAGAACAACCACACGGCACAGGACCTGGAAGTGGAGATCACTGAAATAGCAGTGTGTGCTTCAGTGATTTCTGGCTTCTGGAGGGATCCCACAGATATTATCATTATTATTATTATACAGGATTTATATAGCGCCAACAGTTTGCTCAGCGCTTTACAATATAACGGAGACAATACAGCAACAAGACCGTTCAATACAAGAGGGACAGGAGGGCCCTGCTCCTTGGAGCTTACAATCTAGGAGATGTGGTATATGCATAGTTACAGTGGTCACAGCTGGACCAGTGTAACTTTCTATAGCTGGAATTCTACTTTTTAATGCAAGTTGTTTATAGTTTGTACTTTTTGACAACTTGAAACTCCTTTTTACATGTTCACTTTCCTATTCTAAGCTCCTCTTTTGATAAAAAGGCATGTATACAAAGTTCAGTAGCTCAAATTCACACAGTTTAGAGGGGAAATGTAGCCTCCATCTCTTGCCCTTCCTGTAGGCTGTGATAAAATAGCTCTGTAGATAGGTTCAGTCAGAGAGAGTCTGAAGGAAAGCAGTTTCTGCTCCGTGATATTTATGTCAAGTGTGTACCCTGTAATTTTTTTTTAAACTTTATCTCTTTATAACTCTATGTATCTCATTTATTTATTTTTGAGACTATAAACAGATGAAAACATACTCAAAGTATGCTATAGATAAGTCAGTACAAGCCAATGAAAATGGATTGGTCGGGTACAATTATACAGCGTTTCCTGTTAAGGATTGCATCAAGAGGGTATGAGAATTTTTTGTACAGTAGTGCCATGGTGAACACTAACCTGTGTACCCTGTATTAAATGGTTGTTTACGAACTACAAAATACATATAAACAGTAGAAGAGATGCAAAATATGTAAAGCATTTTAGTCATTATGCAAAGTATTTTAGTGTTTGCATTAAAGTACATCTATACACTAAATTTTGTAAATCTTCCATGTATTCCTAGAAATGATTAAGAGCCCATTCACACTAGGCAGCTGAAAAATGCCAGGACCTCTGGCAGAAAAAAGATAACATAAATGGTCAAACTGGCTTGTATTGCCCAAGAGTTTATGGGCATTTACTTTTATAAGCATTTTTTCTAAAACATTCCCCTCTGCTCATTTTTCATTATAATCAATGTACACTTGAAAATGCCAAAAGCCCAGCGTCCGGGCGCTTCGGGCCTTATATCCCTTCTTTATGCAGCTCTGAACAGACGCTCGTCGCATACTTCTCTTTCATATGTTGTTCAGTGGGAGCGCGACCTGGGAGTGGCTGTGGATCCGGAGGACTGGAATAAGGCCTGGTCACTCATAGCTAAATGCTCATTTAATACGACCACACTGGTGGCAGCCTATAAGGTATTGTTTCGTTGGTACTGGGTTCCGGCTCGGTTGGCCCGGGCTAACCCTGCCTGTAGTGATCAATGTTTTCGGGGTTGTGGCCATCGTGGAGATGTATTGCATATCTGGTGGTCATGCCCGAGACTGTTTCGTTTTTGGTCTCGTGTGTTTGGCCTCCTTTTCACCTTGTTCCATCTCTCCATCCGCCGGGATGCTCGGTATGCTTTGCTTCATTGCCTCATACCGGGCCTCTTGGCTCACCAGTAGAAGTTGGCTTCCTATCTGTTTTTATCGGTCACTAGAACAATTGCTCAGGCCTGGAAGAGTCCGTTTGTCCCTCTTCAGGGGGTGCGGGATCGTATGACCACTATGATGCTCAACGAACAGATGTTGAGTATCTGCGACGACTCCCAGCGTAAATTTTTGAAAATATGGGAGCCGTGGTTGCAATATGCCTTTCCCTTACTCCCCCCGGCTAGTCTGGGGATGTAATGGTGTTCGGTATTGGTGCTCTTGGACCCCTGCTCTTTGCCCCCCCCCCTCTTCTTTTTTTTTTTTTTTTTTTCTTTTCTCCTTTCTTCCTTTTTCTCTCTCTCTCTGTTTTTGGTGTGACTGGACAGCTGCATTTAGTTGTTATAGGCAGTTACATTAATGTTTTGCAACTTATGTGCCATTGATAGCCCCTGCGTGGGCATACCTTTTGCCCTGTTGGCGTTAGAGCACTGTTTTTTCCTTTTTTTTTATTTTGTTTTTTTTTTTTTATCTGTGCAATTGATAGCCCCTGCATGGGCGTGTTTTATTGCCTCAGTTTTATATTGTTTAAAAAATTTATAAAAACCATTGAAATAGAAAATGCCAAAAGCCTGTATAAGCAGCATTTTTTTTTTTTGTTCCATAAGAGTTTTATTGAAAACAGGAATTACTGTTCTGTAACCTCAAACCAGGGAGAACAGACGCTTAGGACATTCAAACAATCTTATCATATAGTGTCACACCCCCGGTAAAAGGACACATTGGGGTTGATTTACTAAAACTGGAAATCTGGTGCAGCTCTGCATGGAAAACAATCAGCTTCCAGGTTTTTTTTCGCCAAAGCGGTTATATAAGTGGTTAGATGTAAAGACTGAAGGTTTTTTTACCTTCATGCATTCTATGCATGAAGGTAAAAAACATGTGTGCATCAAACTCACCCCCCAAATCCTTACCCAAGCCTCTGCTGTCTGGGGACTCTTCTTCCCCATTGTCTGAGACAGCAGCGGGAGCCCATCGGCTCCCGCTGCTGTCAATCACAGCCAAAGAGTCAAGAGTGGGGGGGGGGGGGGGAGGCAAGGTGTAGCTTTGTGTATCTTATGGACGCACAGAGCAGCGGCATGGAGACAAGTACGCAGTGGTATCCCCAGGGTGATCAGTTTTCCCTGGGGGCACTGCTCAAGGCCGAGGAGCCAGGAGCACCAGCGAAAAGATGAGGATTGGGGCTGCTCTGTGCAAAACCACTGGACAAAGCAGGCTTGTATGACATGTTTGTTCATTAAAAAGAAAAAAAAATGAAGCTCTAGTGTCCCTTTTAATTGAACAAGCTGAAGTTAGAAGCTGATTGGCTACCATGCTCAGCTGTACCAGATTTTGCACTCTCCAGTTTTAGTAAATCAGTTTTACTTTTATGCCCAGTGTGCATGGAGCCCAAGTCCCTAACACTGAAGTCATGATGCATATACATACATTTGAACCCTAAAGTCATGAAGCATGTACATTACATTTCAATTCCTCATATTTTGATATTAGGCCTAGGGAATAGTTATCAAACATACATGTTGAGCTCTCTTTCCGAAAGTAGAATGATTAACGAGATTGGCCTTTCTTGGCCAATGATCAATCTACATGGCTCTAGTTTTAGTCATTTTCCAAATAGCACTTATTAGCATTATATCTTATTTGGATAGTTTACATTCATTTATTTCATTATAATCTACATGATCAATAAGTTGTAAGTTTTTTTAAAAATGTGTTCCCGATTATTTGTTAAGGTAATATTATTTATGTAATTTTATATCATTTTATTATCTAGGTATCTGTTGTATGATGTGAATCCTCCAGAAGGATTTAATCTGCGCAGAGATGTTTATATTCGTATGGCCTCACTTATAAAGACGTTAAGAAAGAGTTCAGAGTGGGTGCTGGTTCTGCCTCCCTGGGGGAGGCTTTACCACTGGCAGAGTCCTGACATCCACCAAATACGCATTCCTTGGGCTGAATTCTTTGATCTCGACAGCCTCAACAAAAATATCCCTGTGATTGAATATGAAGATTTCTTAGCTGGTGAGTCACACTATGTCATAACAATAAAATGTGAAGATTTCACAGGAGTTTGTAAGGATACAAAACTTCTGTATTCTAGACAAATGTGCTAAATTATATGTTTATGATTGTCACTAAAATGACAAAGCTTGAAGAGATACAAATGAATCATCTTTGATAGGAACAGTGCCATACTTGAGCATACAAGTGGGGGAGTCTAGCTTCTATATATCATACTGTTGCAAACATACTACAAACAAGCTACATGATGGTGACACTGCACAGTTCTTTTACCTAAGTTCCTGGGTACCATAGTAATACTACTAGTATTAAGAATTCACTGTGAACATTATTTTTTGAGAAATAAAGTACATAAGATAAAGAATGTTTAAAAAAAAAAAAAAAAAACCCTATTCAAGTGTGTTTTGTTTTTTTTTTTTTTTGTTAATTAAAGATGAGTTGTCCAGAATTTGTAAAATAAAACGTGAAAACTTTTGCTACAATACGTACCTTATCCCCAGCATTGTCCCTTGCAGACAGACTCGCCACTATCTAGTCCAGCTTTGGTGCTCTTCATGAACCACAGGGTGGTTCATGATGCTCAACCCATTTCCTGTGGGGATTCGTCATCACGGCACCCTGCACAGGTTTCCTTTGCGGGAAAAACTGTTTCAAATAATTTGTTATTTTAAAACATTTTATTAGATTTGAATCTGCACTAGCAAGTAACTAGTGCAGTATAACAAAAACAGCACTCAACTACCTCTCCCAAAAGCCAAACAAGTCACTTAACAGTCCTTCCCCTGAAGTATATAAATAAATAAAAATAATAATAAGCAGAATTGATTAAATAAACACATATAAAGTGTCACTACACCTAAAGTCCAAGTAAAATCCAAATTAAAGTCCAAAAATTCTTGCAGGTGATTTCACAATAATTCTTATCCCCGAATAAGATTGATGGTATACTCCAGAAGATCTTCATATACCTCAAAGAAAAAGATTCTAAACATAGTGTATTATCCCAGGTATTGTAATAAAGTGCCACACGTGTCACATGCAGACAAACTAAGGTGCCACAGCAATCGTGAAATGTCAGGACTACAACAACTCAATAAATAAATCCACTGCACACAATATAAAAAGTGCATAATTACCCTAACATAGATAAAATCGGCATAGGATCCATAATAAAGATGAGATTGCCTCCAAACATTATTCTACCATCTTCTCCAAACACTTCCCATAGACCTCATAAACAGACCAGGGATCAGTATATGTATTAGAGGACAAACATTTTATTGTAGCAACTTACATTAAAATTTGATGAGATCAGCTTCTATATAGTGAGATGTTCAAAACAACATCACTCCTCAGCGGTAACTATATATTCATGGCCATACCACTCTGAAGGAGAGCCAGGTAGTAAATGGAAGTCTCCAGGGTGAGAACAGCCGTGTGTTCCAGAACCCAAAATGGCCGCGTCCGGGGCACGTGACGTGGTGACGTATTAACATTTTTCCAGAAGTGCCGTGGCGGCCATTTTGGGTTCTGGAACACGCGGCTGTTCTCACCCTGGAGACTTCCATTTTACTTGGACTTTAGGTGTAGTGACACTTTATATGTGTTTAAGTAACTAGTGCAGATTCAAGTGCTTGGCTCATGACTGAGAATCCAGTTATGGCCATTTGGCTGTAACTACTATAGGATATATTTACAAAGCATTAACTATTACATTCACCAAGTATTCACTGATGGTGTGTCTTACTGGTGCTTTAAAGTGGTACAAGGCAAAAATAAAAAATGGTGTATATATGATGCAATCTGTCACTGGCATTAACAAAGCAGTCTGTGTTTTTCTGCATCACAGAACCGATCCAGGCTGGGGAAAGATCATGACCATATGTTTTGGATCGACCCAAGGGCCTGAACTGGCACCTGGCTCAGCCTCTCAGCAAGACAGCTGAGAGCCTGAGCCAGCCACTCCCTCCCCCCCTCCACAGCCCACCGCTTCAGTAGGGGGGAAGAGCAGACAGCGGTGACTGACTCACTGCTCTGTGCACACAGTGGTGTTTGATTGCTCAGTTCTCAACCTTCGAGCAGGCGGGGGACAGATGCTGCATTGGATCTATGCTGCATCCACCTAGGTAAGTATGATTTTAAAATAAAAAAGAATCAAACTTCTTTTAACTGGAGTTAGTCTTTAATTTGTTTGTCACTTATGTAAAGTCTATCAAAATCTAGTAGTCCATCTAACACTGCCATATTCAGATAGTGTTGTTGTCCAAGGGTATCCATTGATAGAGGAGCCACCTAAGACAGGAAGTGGGTTACAGGTTAAAATAATGGAAAAAAAAGCCTAAAAACTAACAGGATTGGTAAGCTGAAATATATTACATTTTTACAGTGATTGATTCAGCTGAACATTTCATATTCGTGATATGTACATGTTCTACCCTGTGCTTTCTGTACTTGTTTTAAAGAGTATTCTGTTCTCATTAAATTACTTTCTTTGCATTAAATACATGGTGATCCTGTCAATGCCTCTACTTTCCTATTAAAAACTGACCACACTAGGCATGATAGCACATCCATCCCAGCGTGGTCAGTTTGGCATTGCATTTCTATTTTAAAATAAATGGGTTGTTTTAACAGGTAAGGGTTCACATATACTTTAAGCACACTCCTATGGTTGTTGCATGCATTGCAGCTTTAAATTCCAACATTAATTTTAGTCACTGAGCAGATATAGTTAAAAAAATTAGCATTTTCTTCCCTACATGATAGTATAATCTCAAAATGACATCAATATAATTGTATCCTCTTGTGCATCTGTGCCCTTAGCATTTTTAAAGTGGTTGTAAAGGCAGAAGGGTTGTTCCCTTCATACATTCTATGCATGAAGGTGAAAAACCTTCTGCATGCAGCTTCTCCCGCAGCCCCCCCCTTATTCTTACCTGAGCCCAATCCTGATCCAGCGATGCTCATGACACCCGAAGCTTTCTCCTCTCACTCCTCATTGGCTTAGATACAGCAGCGGGAGCCATTGGCTTTTGCAGCTGTCCATCGCAGCCAGTGAGGAGGGAGCGGGGGTGGGAGCAGGAGCGCCAATGAGGGACCCAAGAACAAGAGGATCGGGGCTGCTCTGTGCGGTAAGTATAACATATTTGATAGACGTAAAATTTTAAGGAATTGCCAATAACTTTTAATAGAAAATGTTTGTGGTCCCTAAATCTTACCTTGAAGAAATCTTTTCAGTCTTGAAGGATATCTGTATTTTAAACAAATTAATTCTTATATCCAGGCACACCACTTAGCTTTGGTAATGTAACTTTCACGTGTGCTTTGAAAGCTGTCATCACAGGACCATTGCTTACATTTGGCCTGTCTACAGTCTTCACTGGTAACCTGTATAGCATTGAGAGACATGTCTGCTTACCAGGACTGACAACACGCAAAGCACTTGTTTTTATGTACTGTTTGGTTTAGGAGCCATAAATGATCATTTATGTACTACACTCATGTAATTACTAGATAAACTGCTTAAAAAAGGCAGTCCTTGCACAGGTTTAGCTAAACTGTGCCTATATATCATTAGATGTAGTTCCATCCATTCAGCTGTGAAAAGCAGACTGCATATATCAAGGGATCCATGATCATTTTCTTGTTTTTCTCAGTTGTGGCATGCAGACATGCATCTGTCTACCTTGTATTGTTGATAAGCACAGAGCAGACAGGTTGAACGTAGAGGAAATCATGTCTACACTTTCCCGGACCTGTGAAACAGTTCTCATAGCACACGGAAATGAAAGACAGAGGTAAGATGTTATATTTGAAAAGTTCCTTGGTGTTCCTGGTTATTGAAAGAGCTAAAATTTTTTGTTTAGTAAGACTTTCAGCAACGGCAGTCAATAACGGCTAAAAATAATGATTGTCACATCAAATAACACAATAGAGCTGGATAGATTGAGCCTAATGTGTTTTTACAGTTATTTGTACTTTACTACAGCCTTATCTTGTCATGTCATAGCTAGCTGAATCTTCACTGAGCCAATGGCAATTGAGCTCTCCTGCCCCTGTAGCCTTAAGAAAGTGTAAGGATCCCCCAAAGCACATTACCTAGCCCATGCCTGAAACCCAAAAGGTTTGCATGGGTCCTCTGCTCACGCTGGATATTGTATTGGATCACCTCCTTTACATAGCTTGATGGTTGGCCACAGAAGAGTAAGGATCCCATCTTTTTAATTGGCTTTTACATCCACTTTTTCATAGAGCTTTGTGAGAGCAATATGATTGTTCTTATACTATTAAAGCTGTTACACCAGCCTTTCTCAAACGTTTAACTTGGAGGAACCCTTGAAATAATTTTCACATGAGCTGTATTGTTTCCTGAGACTTGGAAGTCCTATCAGATGTGTCCCCCCTATACTGGTGGTCAGTGAAGGGCCCTTTACATCAGTAGTCAGTAAAATTCTCCCTTAGGCTAGGTTCACACCTATGCAGTTTGCGTTTGATCCGTTTCTACAATGCATTTTGTGTTTTTGCACATGCGTTTTTGCTGTATTTTGTGGGGGGGGGGGGTTTTCTCTTGTTGCTTGGCAGATTTAAAACTCTGCAAAACTGCATCAAAAAAGCAGTACATGCTTTTCTGCAGCTTTTCCATTGAAGTCTACAGAACCAAAACTGCAACTTTTTGCTTTTAAAAAAGTCCCTGACCCGTTCCAAAAAACGTACGGTGGAGGTGCGGAGATATCAACGTGTCCCATAGGAAAACATGTTAAATGGACTGTAGTGTGTTTCTGCAAAACGCTGCGGAGAACAGGTTAGGTGTGATCCTAGGGCTACATAGATGGTCAGTGTAGACAGGCTCTCTTAGAACAGTGTGTCAGTGAGAGAAGGACCCCTTTACATTGGTGGTCAGTGGAAAGAAGGCTCCTTATATTGGTGGTCAAAAGGATGATTGCTGTCTGTATAGATAGTTTTAAAAAAAATCATTGGGGTCTGTGGCTACTTATGAGGGTCAGAAATTGCTCATGGAACCCCTGGCAACCTCTGAAGTAACCCTTGTTAATAAACGATGGTTTACATGCTTAATGCACTAGATGTGCTGTACTCCCTATATTCTACTTTCATCTTATAATGCCATGCCTTACCATGCACATAGCTGCATGTTCAATTTTTATTTGTTTTTAGAAATAAGGTAACTACGGTTCCCATGTGGTAGTGCAAATAAATAATGGCACCGATTTCGTCGGAAACATGTATATGCTTATCCATTAAAGTGGTGCAGTCTGCACAGGATTACTGCACTTTGCATAGCTTTCCTTTTTTCTTTCTTATACTTTCAATTTGTTTTCCTCAGATTGATCTTACATGTATCCACTAATCATATCTGACCCTTATGCTTATTTCTGAGCTATAGGAGGAAGGAAAGGGAAGGTAAAGAGGTTGTTAGCTGACCCTATAATGTCCCTATAAACGGTTCCTCATTCCATTTGTCTGCCTCAGGACTGTAGCACTAAATTTTGACCCATATCCAAAGACAAATGAAAAACCATCAGCGTTCACATACAAATAATTTGTTTGCAACTAAAATGTGAGGAGCACGCCAGTGTTCAAAACCGATAAATTGGATTGTATATGCGTGTTTTTTCCTGGTATGCACTCGTTTTCTCTCTTTCTGTCATTTAATCTGTTAAACTAATTACTTCTAGAATCTGGAGGGCCATTTATTGACCAGGTGTACGTCCTGCAAGGCTATGCTGAAGGATGGAAAGAAGGCACATGGGAGGAAAAAGTGGATCAGAGACCTTGCATTGATAAACTCATGTACTCTGAGGATAAGAATGGCTATTACAGGTACACTGCCTAAAATGTTCCTTTTTACTCACTTTATTACTAAATGCAGTAAAGATTACTGTGTGATAAATATTGACTGCAACTCAAGGACATTTAAACTACAGCAATTGCATTCAAGTAATGTTCCTGATACTTTTTTTTTTTTTTTTTTTGTATTTGTTGGATTCAAATTCTTTTGTAACTACCAAAGCTGTATATGTTCACAGGTAAAACGTATTGTGTCATAACAATAAGAGCTCAAACCACATTAATGTGGACCTTTCGGTAATTTACAAGTCTTCATGAATAAATTCCAGGCAAGTCAAAATATACAATAAAAGTATAATTTTACACAGAATACTGTACCTTTGTCATCAGTAAGCAGTTCTTACATAGTTGCATAGTTGGTCTGGCTGAAAAAAGACTATCTAGTTCAACCACAAAAGGGAAAAAAAAATATTGTTACAATCCTTTATCCACAGCTGATCCAGAGGAAGGCCAAAAAAAAACAGCAAAGCATGACGGAATTTGCTCCCGCAGGGGAAAAAAAATCCTACTTCATCCCCCAAGAGGCAATCTGATATTCCCTGGACCAACTTTACCTATAAATGTTAGTGTCCCAGTTATATTCTGTGTATCTAGGAAAGAATCCAGGCATTTTTTTAAAGCAATCTACTGAGTTGGCCAGAACCAGCTCTTGAGGGAGTCTATTCCACATTTTCACAGCTCTTACTGTGAAGAAACCTTTCTGTATTTGGAGATTAAATCTCTTTTTCTCCAGACATAAAGAGTGCCCCCTTGTTCTCTGTGATGATCTTAAGGTGACTAATTCTACACCGCGTTCACTATATGGACCACTTATGTATATGCATGTAGATCATATGCCCCCTTAATCTCCTCTTCGCAAGAGAGAATAAATTCAGTTCCTCTAATCTTTCCTCATAGCTGAGCTCTTCTATGCCTCTAATCAGTTTGGTTGCCCTTCTCTGTACTTTCTGCAGTTCCCCAATGTTCTTTTAGTGAATTGGTGCCCAAAACTGAACTGCATATTCCAGATGAGGTGTTACTAATGATTTGTACAGGGGTAATATGATATCTCTCTCTCTGGATTCTATACCTCTTTTAATACAAGAGAGGATTTTGCTGGCTTTAGAAACCGCAGCTTGGCATTGCATGCCGTTATTAATCTTGTGATCTACCAGAACTCCCAGATCCTTCTCCACCATTGATTCCCCCAGTTGTACTTCCCCTAGTATGTATTAGGCTCCATGCACACTGGGTGTTTTAATAACGCTGGTAACGTTAGCTGTGTATTAGCGCTTTGTGCGTATTTTAGAGGTGGGGTTTTTTTTGGTAAAAAAAAAAACACTGTTTTGCTGTGTTTTTCAGTGTTTTTTTTTTTTTTTTCCAGCCAAAAAAAACGCCCCTGCCAAAAAAAACGCTGATTACAGTCTGTGTGCATGGACACAGGATAACATGCTGGGGAGTTTACTGGCTGTAGAAAAAAACGTCAAAAGCCAAAAACAGCAGCTGTAAAAACGTCCAGTGTGCATGAGGACTTATGCATGCATATTCTTAGCCCCCGAGTGCATAACTTTACATTTATCCACGTTAAATCTCATTTGCCACATAGTTGCCCAATTAAACAGTGCATTGAGGTTGGCTTGTAAGTTGGAGACATCCTGTAAGGACGTTATTCCACTGCACAGCTTGGTGTCATCTGCAAAGACTGAAATTGTACTTTTAATCCAAGATCCTATATCATTTATAAATATATTTAAAAGTAAGGGTCCCAACACTGAACCTTGGGGTACACCACTGACAACCCTAGACCATTCAGAGTATGTATCATTAACCACTACTCTCTGAATGCGAACTTTTAGCCATTTTTCTATCTTTCTGTCTTTCTCTTCTCCCTTCCTTCCTTTTTATCCCCCCCTTTTTTTTTTCTTAATTTTGCCTTAGCATTTTGTTTCATATTGTATATCACATTCTCCGTATTTACCATGACTGTGTTGGCTGACCAGCAGGATGTGGGAATGCCGAGTTTTACCTTTTTTTTTTTACAGGTCCCATTTGTGGCTTGATGTATATTTTACTAGTCTTTGTTTTTATGTTTTGTTAAATTCTCCTGCTTACAGTTACATTCAATGTCATTATTTACTACTACCTGTGTCTTATCTGCATAGTACAGTTGTTACTATGTTCCACCTGCGTTGTGGACCTATCTTCTAAGCAGTTTTTTTTTTTTTTTTTTTTTTCCTCCAGTATTTTTTATTAATTATATTTAAAACAGGTGTATATATAAACAATCGCTTCAGGTGTAAACAATAAAAGTTTGTAGATACACAGCTCTACTCACTGAAGCTTTCTATAAAAAAAACTAATGCAGTGAAGAGGAAGGCTCGTCAGCCTTGTAAACATTTGTGTAAGCAGCAAAAACAAAGAGGTGAATTTGGTATCAGAGCATGCTCTAACCTGCACAGCTTTATCAGTTATCTGGAACAAATTATTTTGTATTAGTCTTTATAAAATTTTTAGCAATGATGATTTTAGATTTTTTGTTGCAAGAGAGTTCTCTTATATATTAAATTATTGCTTTTGCCACTGCTAAATGCAAGTCTTTACATGAAAAACTTGAATGAAAAAAAAAAATGAATGTATCATTTTTCAATTCACAGAGGCTGGTTTTGGGGCTATGAAGAGACCAGAGGTTTAAATGTCACAATGTCTTTCAATACAAGGTTCTGCATCTATTATTGCATCGGTGCTTCTGAAAAACACAACAGCAAGGTGAGGAGTCATGCTTCTGAGCTCCATTGAATGTTACTTAGTCCATTGTAATAACAGCCTAAGCAAATGTTTCTTCTCCTCTTCTAGGTCAGTAATGTTAGACCGTGCTGAGAATCTTCTACATGATCATTATGGAGGCAAAGATTATTGGAATGTAAGTACTGGAGAAAATAAAATTAATTGCATTCTGAGCATTTATATTTGTCTATATTCCGCCCAAACTTGATATTCATAATCTCAGGGACTTTGGTGGCAAGGCTGGATTCATCCTGTCTTGTCACAAGTTGATCTTATACTTCTTGCCTTACTGTGCAGCAGAGAAAGTGAGACTGACCAAAAACAGAATATAACTGAAAAAAATCAGTTTTTCTGTCCAAGTGAAAGATCTATATAGCCACCAGCAGAATCACCACAATGTGCACAATTGTACAAATATTCTACATAATTCTGCTTATTTCTGCATTTAGACACGGCGCAGTATGGTGTTTGCTCAGCATTTACGAATAATTGGGGATGAGTTCCGAGCTCATTTACTCCAATCTAATGATGAAGCAGACAAAACCATATTCAAGGAAGACTGGACAAAGGTGAAGGTAAAGAATGTTTCATATTATATAATAAATATATATATATATATATATATATATATATATATATATATATATATATATATATATATATATATATATATATATATTATTTTTTTTTTTTTTTTTTTTTTAAATGATGGAATAGAAATCCTATAATATATGCAGAATGGCAGAAACACACTCCTGGGCAAGGACAAAAATATTGTATGTGTGAGGGATTCTAACCTCTAGATCAGTGGCATTCCAGATTCTTTGGCTTAAGGACTGCTTTAAAACGATGGATCATCTTTACCCATCTAATAGGACATTTTCACTTTATAATAAATCAGATGTTTTTAAATTTACCCAGCTGCTTTATTTTACTTTATTTTTTTGCTGAGACCAGATGCTTTTGCTTTCTGACCCGCCTGCTGCTCTTTCACCCCGTCCAGCTGTCTTTATTTTCTGGACAGTCACTTTCCTTTTCTACCCATCTGCTTTTACACTCTGACCTGCCACTTCCTTTCCAAACCACTCACTTTTGCTTAGTTTTTTGGTGTTTTATTTTCCTTGCTCATTTTTAATTTTTTGCACTACTGTATTTTTTTTAGAGTTTTGTTATTATTGTGTGTAACTTGCCCTCCAAAGGATTTACCCCCCTTCTTGACAACGCCATTTTTTTACGATATGGCACTGCGTTACTTTAAATGACAATTGCACAGTGATGCAACACTGTACATAAATGAAATGTATGTCCTCTTTTTTCCCACAAATAGAGCTTTCTTTTGGTGGTATTTGATCACCTCTGTGTTTTTAAATTTTTTGCGTTATAAACAAAAAAGACCAACAATTTTGAAAAAAAAAAACAATATTTTTGACTTTTTGCTACAAACCATATCCAGTAAAAAAAATTACATCAAATTTCTTCATAAATTTAGGCCAAAATGTATTCTGCTCTATATAACTTTTGCTAAAAAAAAATCCAAGTACATATACAGTCAGGTCCATAAATATTGGGACATCAACACAATTCTAACATTATTGGCACTATACACCACCACAATGGATTTGAAATGAAACTAACAAGATGTGCTTTAACTGCAGACTGTCAGCTTTAATTTGAGGGTATTTACATCCAAATCAGGTGAATGGTGTAGGAATTACAACAGTTTGCATATGTGCCTCCCACTTGTTAAGGGACCAAAATTAATGGGACAATTGGCTTCTAAACTGTTCCATGGCCAGGTGTGTGTTATTCCCTCATTATCCCAATTACAATGAGCAATAAAAGGTCCAGAGTTCATTTCAAGTGTGCTATTTGCATTTGGAATCTGTTGCTGTCAACTCTCAAGATGAGATCCAAAGAGCTGTCACTATCAGTGAAGCAAGCCATGATTAGGCTGAAAAAACAAAACAAACCCATCAGAGAGATAGCAAAAACATTAGGCGTGGCCAAAACAACTGTTTGGAACATTCTTAAAAAGAAGGAACGCATCGGTGAGCTCAGCAACACCAAAAGACCCGGAAGACCACGGAAAACAACTGTGGTGGTTGACCGAAGAATTCTTTCCCTGGTGAAGAAAACACCCTTCCCAACAGTTGGCCAGATCAAGAACACTCTCCAGGAGGTAGGTGTATGTGTGTCAAAGTCAACAATCAAGAGAAGACTTCACCAGAGTGAATACAGAGAGTTCGCCACAAGATGTAAACCGCTGGTGAGCCTCAAAAACAGGAAGGCCAGATTAGAGTTTGCCAAACGACATCTAAAAAAGCCTTCACAGTTCTGGAACAACATCCTATGGACAGATGAGACCAAGATCAACTTGTACCAGAGTGATGGGAAGAGAAGAGTATGGAGAAGGAATGGAACTGCTCATGATCCTAAGCATACCACCTCATCAGTGAAGCATGGTGGTGGTAGTGTCATGGCGTGGGCATGTATGGCTGCCAATGGAACTGGTTCTCTTGTATTTATTGATGATGTGACTGCTGACAAAAGCAGCAGGATGAATTCTGAAGTGTTTCAGGCAATATTATCTGCTCATATTCAGCCAAATGCTTCAGAACTCATTGGACACCGCTTCACAGTGCAGATGGACAATGACCCAAAGCATACTGCAAATGCAACCAAAGAGTTTTTTAAGGGAAAGAAGTGGAATGTTATGCAATGGCTGGGTCAATCACCTGACCTGAATCCGATTGAGCATGCATTTCACTTGCTGAAGACAAAACTGAAGAGAAAATTCCCCAAGAACAAGCAGGAACTGAAGACAGTTGCAGTAGAGGCCTGGCAGAGCATCACCAGGGATGAAACCCAGCGTCTGGTGATGTCTATGCATTCCAGACTTCAGGCTGTAATTGACTGCAAAGGATTTGCAACCAAGTATTAAAAAGTGAAAGTTTGATTGATGATTATTATTCTGTCCCATTACTTTTGGTCCCTTAACAAGTGGGAGGCACATATGCAAACTGTTGTAATTCCTATACCGTTCACCTGATTTGGATGTAAATACCCTCAAATTAAAGCTGACAGTCCTGCAGTTAAAGCACATCTTGTTCGTTTCATTTCAAATCCATTGTGGTGGTGCATAGAGCCAAAAATGTTAGAATTGTGTCGATGTCCCAATATTCATGGACCTGACTGTAAATTAATTGGTTTACATGAAAGTTATAGCTTCTACAAATGGCGGTGTATATATGCTAGAAGTTTGTTTGTTTTTTTCTTCCCCTGTGTCTCTCCTCTGTCAGCTTTCCCTGATGATCGCTGGATGCCGGCGGAGAATCTCTGGCCTGGACCCAGTGATTGACATCCCTAGCCGGCGATGGTTGCGCGGGTAGGGCGGCGCACGCACCTATCCAGAAAGGCAAATCGCGTATATATACGTGATTTTGCACAGTCCTGCCGCCCTGTAGCAGTAATTCTACTATAGGGCGGCGGGAAGGTGGTTAAAGCTTAACTGAAAGGAAGTGGCTAAATGCACAGATGAAATAAATATCAGGTAGCCATTTTACCTGTCAAAGGATTTGTATTTGTGTCCATTATTTTCCTACCGCACAGCCAGGCAGATGACACCACTATTCCTGTTACAGTGTTAGACTGTAGAAGGAATACAGTGGTGTCTGCTCTCCACCCCCAGCCTGCCGACTGGACAGTGAAAGAGCAGAAACAAACTGATAAGATCTTAGCTTTTTTCTTTCCTCTTTGTTACTTGCCAACACATTTGTGTGCCGCGAATGCTGCTGTACAAGGGATCACAAGTGTCTGATACCAAGTTCTCCAGCTGTCCTGGGATTTGCTGACGTGTGTTTGACTTACAATCCAAACACACACCATTTGCAGGAAAACCACGCTGGCATGGGCTCTAAAAGTAAACACAGATATTTCAAGTGAAAAGAACTTTGACAAATGTCATTGTCCTAGCCATTTAATAGCTGGGAGATACTAAATGTTTGCCTTCAGGATCAATGTAAGGGTCATTAGATCCTAACAGTGCACATAAAATTTTTTGAAGGATAAGTTCACCTTTTGGACAAAAATAATAAATGCACATTTTTTGCAGGTAAAAAAAATGTGCAGTTATTATTTTTGTCCAAAGAAGCCTGGAAAGCATTGCACCAGCAATGGGTGGATCGCTGATTCCATGCAGGTCTCCTGCAGACCTGTAAGAATATCTGCTTGCCGTACAGGGATGTACAGCCAAGCAGACATTATGACATGAAGCTTCAATGAACTACTACGGTGCTGCAAATCGTCGTGGTAGTTCATTGAAAACTACAAGTCCACAGCCGCTAAGGCTGCCAGAAGTTGCAGTTCATTCATTCACGGAAGTCCATGAATGAATGATACAGTCGTGTGGGTGGAGCCCCGCACGGCTGCTCTGTTTTCAAAAATCTGACAGTATGGGGAAACTTCTCCCTGTACTATCTGTCAGAGGGAGGGGGGCGGCGGGCGCGGCTGTAGCTACGTGAACATGTTACATGTTTCATCCTAGAAAATGGGTGGGACATATAAAATGTTCCCAAAGATGAACTTATCCTTTAAGAGTGTTCTGTTGTTTTTTTCTGTTTAACCCAAGTGAACTAAGTTACAAAAAACTAGATTGTGTCTACATTGTCATTAGCTACAAGTCAATCCAGGCTTAAAGTGATACTAAAGGCTTACATTTCTTTTTCCTAAAAATAACAAACATGTCTATACTTGCTGTGTGCAATGGTTTGGCACAGAGCAGCCCAGATCCTCCTTTTCTCGGGTATCCCGCAGGCTCTTCTGGCCCCTCCCTCCTGTCCTGTGCCCCCACAGCAGTGGGTAGCTATGGGGCCACTCACTGCTCTGTGTGTCTATTTACACACTGAGCTGTGGCTTAGCCTTCTCCCTCTCTCTTCTCATTGGCTAACTTGCTGTGATTGACAGCAGCAGGAGCCAATGGCTCCCACTGCTGTCTCAGCCAGTGAGAAGAGGGAGTCCCAGGATAGTCGAGACTCCAGTGCATATTGCTGAACCGAGATGGGGCTTAGCTGCGTATTAGGGGGGACTGGGGGAGATGCTGCACAGAGATGTTTTTTACCTTTCTGCTTAGAATGCATGAGGGTGAAAAAACCTTGAGCCTTTACAACCAATTTAACTATCTTTATAATTTGTATGAGTGACAAAATGAGAGTGGTATTATAAGAACGTCCTAAATGACAATATTATTCAGTTAAGTTATTCTTTTACACCCCATCCACTGGTTTTAACTAACCCACCCCACCCAAGAAGTATGCTTACCTGAAAAAAACATCCATGGTCCACAGGAATCTGCAGCTCCTTCGGCCATAATTTTTTTTGGTTTTTCTCCTGGCTGCACCTGCACAATAGAAATCTTAGTGACCACTGTATTAGTAGGTGGCCCAATAGAAGTATAGACTTCTCTGGGGTTCATAGATGCAGTCAGAAGAAAGAAGAGTTTGGCTGGAGACTAAAATTGTCAGATACGGGTAAGCATACATTTTGTATTTCAATGGTTTTTTATTAATTTTAAACAGTATAAAACAGAGGCAACAAAACACGCCCACGCAGTATCAATTGCACCGATAGGCATAATAGAGCAGACAACGCTCTAATTCCAATAAGGCAAAACGTATGCCCGCAATGGCACATAGGTTACAATAACATCAGTGAAACCCAGATTATCGCACCTAAAGACAGCTGTCCACTGTCACATCAAAACAAACAGAAAAGGAAAGAAGAAAAGCAGAGAAGAAAGAAAGAGAAAAAAAAAAAAAAAACACACACCAAAGAGCAAGGGTCCATGAGCGCCAATACAAAACTCCTTCACCTCCCTATACTGGCAGGGGGGAGCGTGGGAAAGGCATATTGCAACCACGGCTCCCATATTGTCAAGGTAAGCATACATTTTGAATGGGAGAGTTTATTTAGGTCAAGAGGAATGGGCAAAAGGGTAACTGTACTTTTTTTATAAAAAAATATAGTTCTCCTTTAATCATAGATTAAATGCAGTCCATTCAAAAGTGAAGTTGCTAATGTGCTTTGTTCACTACATAGACAAAGCCAAGCACACCTCTAGGAGGACCTTATCTTGCTGTACATCTTCGAAGGAAAGACTTTATTTGGGGCCACAGGGAAGATGTGCCTAGCTTACGACGAGCAGCTGAAGAAATCCATAGTCTCTTAAAGAAGCAAAAACTCAAGAAAGTATTTATTGCTACTGATTCCGACAGACAAGGTCAGTGCCAGATGTATTTCCATGTTCTAAATGCATTTATTATAAAAATAGGATGTAAATCTCCATTTACAAACATGTAATGTAAATCGCTACAATTTTTTCATATATAGATCTTGAAGAACTTCGAAAGTTGATCCCAGAAATGGTGAGTATGAACCCACCTGGGAAGAGCTGGAGCTGTACAAGGATGGAGGAGTGGCAATTATAGATCAGTGGATCTGTGCTCATGCCAGGTATGGTGATGTATACAGATCTCTCAGTGACCCATGTGAATCCACATTTTCTGTTCCTTTTTAAAGTAGAATTCCAAGTTTAATATGACTTTGAATAGTTTGTTTGGGCCAAGCCGGCCCAAATGAAGTATTTCCATTATATAATTTTGTGGCACTTGTCTGTACTGTAGTAGCTTTAGCTACATACAGAAACGGCACTGTTTTTCACAGTAGTGGGACTTTTTTTTTTTTCCCAAGGCTTCCTCTAAGTGGCGGTGGAAGGGAGCCCATAGAAGGTTCATTTTTGTTTAATCAACCTGCTGTGTCTTTGTATTCTGATAACAGGGAGACGTCCCTGCCGTCATAATACTTTGATCAGCATTGCCGGCTATAGCCAGTGGTGCTGATCAAGTGGAAACCCTGCCCATAGCTAATCCTAATACGGTATATACATACACACAGTGGCCACGTAATTATGTAATGGAAATACACTATATTGCCAAACACCCCTCCAAATCATTGGATTCAGGTGTTCCAGTCACCTCCATGGCCACAGGTGTATAAAATCAAGCACCTAGGCATGCAGACTGCTTCTACAAACATTTGTGAAAGAATGGGTCGCTCTCAGGAGCTCAGTGAAATCAAGCGTGGTATCGTGATAGGTTGCCACCTGTGTAATAAGGCAATTCATGTAATTTCCTTGCTACTAAATATTCCATGGCCAACTGTTAGTGGTATTATAACAAAGTGGGAACAACCGCAACTTGTAAAATGACAGAGCGGGGTCAGCGTATGCTGAAGCACACAGTGCGCAGAAGTTGCCAACTGTCTGCAGAGTCAATAACTAAAGACCTCCAAACTTTGTGTGGCCTTGATTTCCAGAACAACAGTGCATAGAGCACTTCATGGAATGGGTTTCCATGGCTGAGCAGCTGTATCCAAGCCTTATATCTCCTAGATTGTAAGCTCGAAAGAGTAGGGCCCTCTTACCCCTCGTACGTTGTTTGTTGTTGTTGTACTGTGCCATGTATTGTCCCCCCTCTATTGTACAGCGCTGAGCAAACCCTTTGGCGCTATATAAACTCGTAGTAGTAATAATAAGTGCAATGCAAAGCATCGGATGCGGTGGTGTAAAGCACACCACCACTGAACTCTAGAGCAGTGGAGACATGTTCTCTGCAGTGACCAATCATGCTTCTCTGTCTGGCAATCCGATGGACGTGTCTGGGTTTGGCGGTTGCCAGGAGAACGGTTCTTGCCTAACTGCATTGTGCCAAGTGTAAAGTTTGGTGGGGGGGGGGGGGGGATTATGGTGTGGGGTTGTTTTTCAAGGTTTGGGCTTGGCCCTTTAGTTCCAGTGAAGGGAACTCTTAAGGCGTCAGCATACCAAAACATTTTGGACAATTTCTTGCTCCCGACTTTGTGGGAACAGTTTGGGGATGGCCCCTTTCTGTCCAACATGACTGTGCACCAGTACACAAAGCAAGGTCCATAAAGACATGGATGAGTGAGTTTAGGGTGGAGGAACTTGACTGGCCTGCAGAGTCCTGACCTCCACTCGATACACTTTTTAGGATGAAACGGAGCAGAGACTGTGAGCCAGGCCTTCTCGTCCGACATCAGTGCTTCACTTCACAAATGCGCTTCTGGAAGAATGGTCAAACGTTCCCATAGACACACTCCTAAACCTTGTGGATGACCTTTCCAGAAGAGTCAAAGCTGTTATAGCTGCAAAGGGTGGGCCAACTCAATTTTGAACCCTATGGACTAAGACTGGGATGCCATTAAAGTTCATGTTCGTGTAAAGGCAGGTGTCCCAATACTTTTGCCAATATAGTGTAGTTCTTTGGGCCAGCTTGGCCCAAACAGACTATTTAAAGTCAAATTAAACCTGGAATTCTACTTTAATTTGTGGCAGAGGTAAAAAATTAAAAATCTAATGTTACATTTCTATTACCGCAAACCAAATGTACCTGTTATAGCTAAGCATTTTGTGATGGCAGAGACATTGCACACTGCTTTCACACTGATCTGTTTTTTCGTCCGCTTTTGCATTAAAAAAAGTGGAAGATAAATGTGTGACTATGTGATCATATGGAACTCTTTACACTGATCCATTCCAGGTCCACTGGATTTGGTAAAATCCTGCTTGCTGCATCTTTTGTGCAGGTTTGGTGTGGTAAAAAAAACACACCACCCCTATAGAAGTGCATGAAAACCACAGCAAAAACACATCCACGTTTTTTTTTTTTTTTTGTCTTATGTGTTTTTTTTTTTTTTTTTTTTTCACATGTCCCATGTAAAAAGCACTGCAAATGCGGCATAAACGCATATCTGTTTTTAGCCCATTTTTGCTATGGATCAGTATAAAAGCCTTAGATTGTAATTTTCTTTACCAGGGTAAAACTAAATACAAGCCTTATAATTGTCTTTCCTCCAGCATTGCTGTCTCTCCTACCAAAGGCCCTTTCCTGTGTAGGTAGGAAAATGGTGGTTTCTGTAATTGTATGTACTTTGAATGTGAAGAAAGTGATTATTGTCATTAACATATAGTTACACATCAGGTACGTAAAGTATGTATATCCACAATGCATTTTTGGAAATCCATAGAAGAAAATAAATGTGAACTGCATGTGCGTAGTACTAAAAGAAATATGAATCCTTCCATTGGTGATGACCGAAAATGCTACTTTCCTGGCTGTCTCTGACTTCAATCACTAACCTAGAATAAGCAGCAAATTCGAGTCCTGATTTGCAAACTTCTTCTGGATTGTTGGCCTAAAGTATTGATGCTATGGGGTATGTGTAACACTCGCACCCCTAGCATTTTTGGAGGAAGATGTTAACAGTGGCTGCCATCATTTATTTTTTTTCTGTGCAGGTTCACAAAGCTTCACTTTGTCATTTTACTGTCTAATATGCAAAATAAAAATGTCAGCTGCACATGGGCTGGGTGTTTTGCACAGCAATTTCCTTTGCCGTTGGTAGTAAGGTTCTGCCAGAGAGATCTGATTGCTGGAATCACAGAAAAATACAGCATAGGAATAAAGTCGGCAGGTCAAACAACACACTGCCATCCATATTGTTTTTGTAAATCTCAAGGTTAAATATCTCCAATAAATCTGGTCTATAGAATCTTAAATGTACAGCCCAGCTCAGCCAAAAATATTGATTTTTTTTGGATTAGACAGTGAGAAATGTTAGAACCTCTGGATTTATGTTATTGCCTATCTCCTCACTTCCTTCTGGGGGGACAGTGGAGGGAAGAGGAACAGAAACACAAATTTAGTAGAGTGGGGAAAGGCCACAACTTTGTCAGGTTTTTATTGCCGTTGCCCTTATCTAATATTTCTTGAAAGAAAAGGAAGGAGCGTGGTTGTGGAATTAGAAAACAGATGTTTTAATCCTCTCTTACACCCCGATCACATCAAGCTCGACTTTGAAATCATGTGACTTACAGTGAAGTCATACGATTCCAAAATCGGGTGACTTGCTGATTTCAGGTGCAATTTGCAAGACATCTGACACAGATGTCTATGCAAATAGCACCAAAAGTACAGCATGTACTACTTTAGAAATTGGTGCTGCTCTGACCAAGTCGGAACCGCACCGATATGACCGCTGTGTTTGCGGACAATAGGGTGTGACCGGGTCTTACTGTTTTTTAAAAACAAAAAAAAGATTTTGGCTGGACCTTGCCAAACTATTTTTCCGTTCCATATTCCAGAAATGCATAACAAGCATTAGCTGAAATAATCAGTGAACCCTACCTAACGCTTACTTCTTTTTATCATAACTTGTCTAATTTTGTTTACAGGTATTTTATTGGCACTTCCGTTTCTACTTTCTCTTTTCGCATTCATGAAGAGAGAGAAATTTTAGGTTTTGACCCAAAGACGACCTATAACCGATTTTGTGGAGACCAAGAAAAGAAATGTGAGCAGCCGACACACTGGAAAATTGTCTATTGACTGTAAACTTCAGTAGGGCAATCTGCCCTGTAGCATTCACTCTACCCAGACTGGCACATACCAGAAATCTGCAGGTGGCTGATTTAAAGTGGACATTTTGCTGCTGTCTAATGCGCCTTTATAGGATAAAAGGTTAAATAAATGAGGGATCTATTAATACTTCTTTCTCAAATTTAGGGATGTAGCACATACAGAGCTGGATGTATGAGTATATTTCCTTCAATGGAGGGCTAGCTACTTGTGACTTAGAGAGCAGATAAAATTTAGCACAACTCTGTGTTTACAATAATGGGAATATGGGATGCAATGCAGGAGCAGCTAACTTGTTCTTGCATTATAGTCACGTGACTGTTTCCTTTAATGAAAAAATTGTGTTAAACAATTTCTTATGATGGCACAGTGACATCTAGTACAAATCTATAGTGGTGTTGTACCCATAGAACAGACCATTTTACTTTCTGTCTCAAAATATGTGGTACAGTGGGGTGTATATACCCTTGTGATTGCCACCCCTTCCAGTTTTATTTTTTCTATGCAGAGATCTTGGCAAGATATAAAAATTTGCGAGATATAAAATATAATCAGTAGAAATCTTAAAGTGTATCCAAAACCAAAGACTTACACCAAATATAATATTGCACACATTCCTGTGTTAGGAAAATTTAAAACAAAAAAAGTATGTAATCCTATTTATATTTTGTGCTTTAATTCAAACAATTCCTGGTAGGCAAGGTATATCCTGATCTTAATTGCATAATTACATTGGTCTCACTTGTGTATCTCATTCCTGATGGACTGTTGTGGGCGCTGACAATGACTGTAGTAGTCGAACTAGGTGGAAAGGAGGGAAGGTGATGTCACGGTTCCCACCTCATCCAGTTGGAGAATGCCTTGTATTTATTGAACAAAATAGAAGGCATTCTGTGAATGACGGCAGTGACCCCATGGTCAGTGTGCAGTAGGACAGAAGCTGCACACAGGATCTGAAGGATCAAGGTGATCACTGTAGTAGCGCTAACTACTACAGCGATTGTCAGCTGCCCTATCGGTCCCTCAGATATGCTTACTTCCAAGCTGGACCATTGTGAGTATGCAATTGAGATCGGAGTTAGGCTTTAATTCAACTGTAGCATTCTCACTCTTTCCTGTGCTCCCCCAAGTAGGGCTAGAAGCATTCATGTCCACACATAGTTTGGTGGCACAGTTTGTTGAGTTCACAGCAATATACTGTGATGTAGCAACTTTCTATAGACATGTGCAGTCCAGTGGCAGCTGAACAAGTATTCTACAGGATGTGTACTGCACAGGGAGACAAAAAAAGAAACACAAGAAGAGAAAAATGTATATTTATTTTTACAGACTAAATGCAATCCTGTTTTATTTACTATGCTCTAAAGGAAAAAAAAAGTATTATTTTGAGAGAGTTTAGTTGTTTTTTAAAAAGTGCTAAGAATGTGTAAATCAGTTCAGGAAAAGTAATTTATGTCAGAAAAAAATAACTAGTAATTACAATACCTTTAATTGGTAACTTTAAAGCCCAACTACAAGCAGAATGAATATAATCTTCTCATCAAAGTACTTGCCTTTCCTCTGTAAAAATGTCAGCCTTTTCCTCATCATGTCTGTTTTTCCTGCATTGTGATGCCCCAAACTGGCCCAAAGTTCATCCTTTGCTTTTGTGTATGTGTCCAAGTGCCACTGTTTTCTTCATAAGGAAAAATGGGTCCCCCATTGTAGTCCTGAGAAAAAGGAGTGTGCCTCATAAAGTCAGGCCTCCTGTGGGAGGAAGGATCAGCATAGAACTGGGCTGTGGCCTGCCTACATCAGTTCATTTGACAGCTGTGCAAATAAAGACAATCGACACACCCCTCCAACTTTTCAGCTCCACCCACAAAGGACTAACATTTCCTAAATTCCTCATTGACTCATGGAAACTGTAGTGCTGTGTGTAAGAGCGGATGTAACATGCCGTATCTACTTCTGTCCTCCCAGCGCACAAAAAGAACTTGTTTATCCAGCAAAAGATGGGACATCATTGATTTGAACAATTCCAGTTTAAAGAAAAAGTGAGGCAAAATTAAACACCAGTTTTCTTTTGCATTAGGAAAGGGTTTGGTGTATTCAAAGTGAGCATGATCCTTGAGTTGGGCTTTTGCCCCAGTTCTTATACAGTTAGGTCCATATATATTTGGACACAGGCACAATTTTCATACTTTTGGCTCTGTATGCCACCAGAATAAATTAAAATGAAACAATCCAAATGAAAGTGCAGACTTTTAGCTTTAATTCAAGGGGTTGAACATAAAACATTTTTATACACAGTCCCTCCATTTTCAGGGGTTCAAATGTAATTGGACAAATTAATATAATCATAAATAAAATGTTCATTTTTTTAATATTTTGTTGAGAATCCTTTACTGGCAATGACTACCTGAAGTCTGGAACCCATGGACATTACCAAAGACTGGGTTTCCTCCTTTCTGATGCTTTGCCAGGCTCTAACTGCAGCTGTCTTCAGTTGTTCTGTTTGTGGGTCTTTCTGCCTTTAGTTTTGCCTTCAGCAAGTGAAATGCATGCTCAATTGGGTTGAGATCAGGTGATTGACACGGCCATTGCAGAATATTCCACTTCTTTTCCTTCAAAAGCTCCTGGGTTGCTTTTGCAGTGTGTTTTGTGTCATTGTCCATCTGTACTATGAAGCGCTGTCCAATCAACTTTGCTGCATTTGGCTGAATCTGGGCTGACAGTATATCTCTAAACACTGCAGAATTCATCCGGCTGCTTCTGTCTTCTGTCACATCGTCAATAAACACCAATGACCCAGTGCCACTGAAAGCCATGCATGACCATGCCATCACACTGCCTCCACCATGTTTTACAGATGACATTTTGTGCTTTGGATCATGAGCTGTTCCAAGCCTTCTCCACACTTTTTTCTTCCCGTCATTCTGGTACAGATTAATCTTGGTATCATCCCTCCAAAGAATGCTTTTCCAGAACTGGTCTGGCTTTTTTAGATGTTTTTTTGGCAAATTCTAATGTCGATTTTCTATTCTTCAGGCTTATGAATGGTTTACACCTTGTGGTGAACCCTCTGTATTTGCTCTCGTGAAGTCTTCTCTTGATTGTAGACTTTGACAATGATATGCCCACCTTCTGGAGAATGTCCTTCACTTGTCTGGATGTTGTGAATGGGTTTTTCTTTACCATAGAGAGGATCCTGCGATCATCCACCACTGTTGTCTTCTGTGGACGTCCATGCCTTTTTATGTTGCTGAGCTCACCAGTGCATTCTTCTTTCTTCAGAATGTACCATACTGTTGATTTGGCCACTCCTAATGTTGCTGCTATCTCTCTGATGGATTTGTTTCATTTTTGAAGCCTTACAATGGCCTGTTTCACTTGCATGGACAGCTCCTTTGAACGCATTATGTAGGTTCACAGCAATAGATTCCAAATGCAAATACCACACTTAGAATCAACTCCAGACCTTTTTTACCTGCTAAATTGAATGAAAAAAAATAACAAAGGAGTAGCCCACACCTGGTCATGAAGCCGCTTTTGTTTCAATTGTTCAATTACTTTTGGTCCCTCCAATTTGCATGTACATACCTTCAAATTAAACCTGAGAGTGTGCACTTTCAGCCCATATCCATTGTATAACTATAGTATGAATATGTTTTGGTAAATACCTGAAAAAAACAAAAATTTGTGCCTGTGTCCAAATATATATGGACCTAACTGTATATGTGAATTGGGAGCGTTTTGAACCATATCTGATTCCCATGACATGTGAACCAAACCAGCACACTATGGATCTCCAAATCTGGTCCAAAGAGGTTTTTATTGAAAAAATAATCACATCACAGAAGAAAGGTCAATGCTTCGGAGCTGCGCAAGACCCTTTCATCAGGCAGATCATCACATGCCTGATGAAGGGGTCCTGCGCTGCTCCGCATTGCATGCTCCGCATTGCATTTTCTTCTGTAACGTGATCTTTTTGCATTAAAACCTCTTTGGACCATATTTGGAGATCCATGGTGTGTTGGCAAATATGTACGTTTGCCTATGATGTTTCCAGTCCTAGCTGGTAGTCGCTACAGCACCCGCTATTGATGAGCCATATTTCCAGGAATGTGTGCGATGGGAATATACACAAGATGTGCACCAAACCAGCTTTCTATGGAGCCAGTTCACATAGGCGTGGGCCTGGCTGCAGTGCAATTTTTAAGAAGAGGTACAATTTTCATGCTGGTTCAGGTGCAATTTCCAATATCATATACTTTGACAATTCTCACCTGAATTGCACCTGAACTGCTGAACAAAATCACACTGGACTCTTTTTGCAAATTGCACTGAAACCGGCCCGCACATATGTGAACCCAGGGTTAATGAAGTTCATAGCAAGCTTTCAATGCTCTGACTATCGGCAGCAATTGACCTTTAAAGTCAATTAACTTCTTAAGTTACTTTTATTATTTTGACCAACATTGCTATTATCAATCTGTTTCTTAAATCATGAACACACTTTATATAACAAAAAGCCTATATATTTAAAGTGTAATAAATCCAACAGGAAACTGTACTAGATGCAAGATAAACTGATACTTCAACAAAAGCTGAACATTCCAAAAACAGCTAACGTAATATACTATACCCCATTTAGATTTCAGATATCAGCTTTTGTGTCAAACCAATCAACCTGGTTGTACCTTGCTAAGTAATGAACATGCTGCCTACCCCCCTTTTCTTATATTATTTCTCTAAATGCTCTGCCTATGTTTTGCCAACTTTTGGGGTTTTTTTAATGTAATTTGTTTCAGTATTAAGAGATATAAACAGTAATTCTTACTGTTACACACTGTTAATATTTGTGAAAAGTCTTCATCAAAGAATTTGTCACTCAGAATCTCTGGTTTTATTCCACTTGCACATTTTAAATGTAAATACTGCAGGGATGAATTATTGTATAGATTCAATTTTTTTTATTAAGTGGGTAA